GCTCTACCACTTGAGCTACAGCGCCACTTCCGGTTTTCTGGTGGTTTATTGGAGATAGGAGTCTCACGGTCTCTCCTGCCCGGGCTGGCTTTGAACCGCCATCCTCAGATCTCAGCCTCCTGAGTAGCTAGGATTACAGGCGTGAGCCACCAGCGCCTGGCCATTCATTCAGTTCTTATGAGACACCTGCTGTGTACCTGGCCGCAAGGCCCTTGGGTGGGGCTGTGCACCACAGCGGGGTGCGTGTGGGTCCCCCTTCCTTCAGGACCGGTCCCGGGCCCCCCTGAGGCGGCAGGGCTGCGGGCGGGGCCTGCTGATCCAGGAAAGCCATGGGGACCGGTGGCTGAACCGTCCCCGTCCCAGAGCCAGGAAGTTATTTGGGGCACTGCGCTGATATCACATGGGGGCCGCTCCCACCCACAGGGCCAGCTGGGCCTGCCTCAGTTTCCCCATGGTGTGAGGGCTGCCAGAGTTCCAGATCCTGGACATGCTCCAGGCTGTGGCCCCCCGGGCCAGCCCAGGCATAAAAATTGAAAGATTCCATCTCGATCATGTGGGCATGGTGGCACACGGGATATCTCAGCAACAAAGGGAAAAACACAAATAGGATCACGGTTCAGTCCGGCCTGAGCACAAAGAGAGCCCCTATCTCAAAATTAGCAAATCCAAGCCTGGAATTACACTGGTAACCGTAGGTACTGGAGGCTGAGGAGATCTGAGGTTCAAGGCTCAAAACCAGCCCCCGAGGCTCTGTCTCCACTTACCAAAGGCCAGAAGTAGAGCTGTGGCTCAAGCACTAGAGTACCAGCCTTGAACAAAGTAACTAAGGGAAAGCACCTGGGTCCTGAGTTCAAACCTCAATACCAGCACCCATTCCCCAAAACAAACAACAACTTCCACTGAATCCTAAAGATGAATGGGTGCAGGATATAGACAAATTGCTAAAAAGGAAACTAATTTGGCTAATGCACTTGCTGGGAAGTGAACGTGCAGCCGTGGTAATTAAATGCAAATCAGAGCCACAGCACAGAGACAGCAGGGAAGAATGCTGCTAGTCAGGGCTGTGGAGAAATGAGTGGGTCAGCTGGGGGCATGGGACCCATGGGACCGGCCCTTCTGTTAGTCTGTGTGTCCTTGGCGGATTTGTTTTCTGTTTGTGAGACAGGGTCTTATTATACAGCCCAGGCTGGCTTTGAACCCACCATCCTCCTGCTTGCTAAGATTATGGGTATGAGGTACCAAAGTTCGTTTATTGTGGTGTGTGTGTGTGTGTGTGTGTGTGTGTGTGTGTGTGTGTGTGTTTGCACCGGTACTCAGGGCCTTGATGCAGTCCTTTAGCTTTGTGTTCACTGCTGCCAATCTACCAGTTGAGCCACAGAGCCACTTCCAGCTTTTTCTGAGTGGTTAACTGGAGATCGGAGTCTCACAGATTTTTCAACCTGGCTTTGAACCTCGATCCTCAGATCTCAGCCTCCTGAATCACTAGGATTACAGGCGTGAGCCACCGGCGCCTGGCACCCAGCTAACAATATTTGCTGTATGTATGCCAATCCTGAGGTTTGAACTCAGGGCCTGGGTGCTGTCCCTGTGCTTTTCTGCTCACGTCTAGTGCTCTACCACTTGAGCACAGCACCACTTCCAGCTTTTTGTCCAGGCTCACTTGGAAGCACAGTCCTCAGATCTCAGCCCCCTGAGTAGCTAGGATGACCAGCATGAGCCACAGGCCCACTCAGGGCTTCTCTGATGGTTTTGGTGGCTCTTGATCAGGTCAGCAGGGGGCACCGGAGAGCAGCCACACTCCCCCCTCCCCAGCTGCTGTGCTTGACTCAGCCACCAGGAGGCGACAGACGCGGGTGATTCACAGCCAGGCGGCGCCCTGGCTAGCACTGAACCCGGGCTATCTGGGAAAACACGTCCACCGGGCAGGATCACTGGTAACTACTAGTTTGGTGTAGGGGTGGTGAGGAGGTGCGGGAGCTGGGTTTGGTGTGAGCTGTGGAGAAGTCCGGTGGGGTGGGTGCTTCACCCAGTGTGCACTGCAGTAAGCTGTGGCTTCTCAGGTGTCTGTACCAAGGGGCCTCCGGTGCTGGAGGTTGGTACTGCAGGGAGCAGGGTGGTGCTGGGCGCAGTAAGGCCAGAGTCTTGGCATGCTGGAGTCCATGGCTCCCACAGCAGGGCACGGCTCACAAGGAGGACTTCCAGGTCTTCCTGTCCCCACCATCAACGGCAGCTCAAAGCCCACCATCAAGGGCCAGGGCATTTTCCCCAGAGAGGAAGCAGACACCACACGGGGGCGCGCCGGGCTTAGCAGGGTCAGATACAGCGCATCGTGTCTGAGTCTTGGCCGTCCTACCTGCCGGCCAGGTGAGCCGGGGCCAGCTCCACCATCCTCGCGGGCTAGTGAGGTGGCCGGGGCTCTGGGTGGAAGCGGATGCTGGGGCGGACACGGAGCCCTGCCAGGCCAAGTGGTTTACAACTGAAGAATTACTTCTTGCCTCAAGGGTAAGAAGCAATTTTCAAATCCCACAGGTGTGTAAGGGGAAATATTTGACCTCTATTTTCCTGTGATCAAGAAAGGAAAGGAAAAGTTCAGAGTCAGGCTGGGAAGGTGGCTCAGTGGTAGAGCGCTTGCCTTGCATGCATGAGGCCCTGGGTTCGATTCCTCAGTACCACATACACAGAAGCAGCCAGGAGTGGTGCTGTGGCTCAAGTGGTAGAGTGCTAGCCTTGAAAAAGCAGCTCAGGGACAGCGCCCAGACCCTGAGTTCAAGCCCCAGGACTGGCAAAAAAAAAAAAAAAATCAGACTACTTAGTACATAACTTCAGGGACAGCAGGGATTACATAGTAAGATCCTGTCTCCAGACAAACCCAACAAACAGACAAGGGGAAAAAAAAAACAGGTGGTTTACATCTATAATCCCAGCGTCTATTGAGGATCATATTTCTAGGCCACACTGGGCAAAAGGTACTCAGCAAACAAGCTGAGTGTGGCAGCTCAAGCCTGCAGTCCCAGCTCCACGGGAGACAGAGGTAGGGTTACCTTGGGTCCAGTGCTGACCTGGGCAAAAAATGTGAGACAATATCTGAAAAATAGCAAAGCCTCCTAACAACAAGGAGCTGGGGCATGACTCAGTCCCTGCGCAGAAGACACAGCCCCTGAACCCAAACCCCAGGACCGCAAAGGAAAGAAAACAGCCTCTCCTGAGCCTGACTTCATCGCTCTCCTTGCTGTTAGACGCTCCCCTGAGGAAGGAATGAAGTCCTTTCAGAGATTCTTAGCAGGGTTATTTTATTGACACATTATGCACGACAGCGAAAGCAGTGAATGTCCGCTTCAGGGTCACGGGCTTGAGTAAGTTATAATTAGTTCCACGATGGAATTTTATATACACGTGGCGTAAGAAGACAGGATCTGTGCCTCCTCTGGATAATTGGCCCTTGATTTCCTGTGATTCCCTAGATGGTTTGCTTTTCTATTAGTTTGAAGTTTCCTCATCTGGTTTGCTTTGCCCACGGATAACACTGTCGTCGGGTTTGATTCCTCACACGTTGTGTGGTTTTGACCTACATAAGCTTTGTGCTGGTGACACTCGGGGCCGCTGGTCTGTGAGACGGGTCCACCAGCAGTCCCCCGGCTCTCTGATAAAGACTCAGAATTTGGCTTCTTACGTGCTGGCTTCTCCATTTCTCTCAACTGATTTTCCTTACAACACACGTTGATCAGGTCATAAATGGAGTACTGAATGGAATGTCAGAATGTGTTACACTGTAAGAGCAGCTTAACGTAGCAGAGCCGGTGGCTCACGCCTATAATCCTAGCTACTCAGGAGGCTGAGATCTGAGGATCACAGTTCAAAGCCAGCCTGAGCAAATAAGGCCATGAGACTCTTATCTCCAGCGAACCACCAGAAAACCCGAAGTGGCGCTGTGGCTCAAGTGGTAGAGCGCTAGCTTCAAGCAAAAGAGCTGAGGTACAGCGCCCAGGCCCTGAGTTCAAGCCCCGCGACTGACAAATAATAGGTGAGCCATAGTTTGTCTCACTAAACAAAATAGTTTGTCACATGATCGGACAAACTTGCACGCGCATCGTGCGCCGGCCGCCGAACATGTGCAGCCCGCTGCGAAAAGTGTAATTTTTGGGGAAAAAAAATTCCCTGCACGTAAATATAGAACAAGTGGGCGTCAGTGATTTTCATTCATTGGCGAATGAGGCCCGAGAGGGTGCGGGCTGGGCTGGAGGGGCCTGGGGCGCAGTGGCCGCGGTTCTGCGTGGATGGAATCACGGGGCCCGCGCACCGCGTCTGGCTGGAAGCCTCCGTGCGGATGGACGGATGGACCCGCTCGGCTTCTCACCGCGTCTACAGATCCCCAGCCACAGCGAGGTCACGCTCCGGGGCTCTGTTGGCTTTGGACGGCTTCCTCGGCGGTCACCGTCCTGAGCAGCTCGGGGCAGGCGTGAGCTGCGTGTGCAACGTGTGTGCAATGCGTGTGCAGCCGAGCGAGCATCCCAGCGCTGAGGCTGCGGGACGGAGGGAGGCGGGGAGGGGCAGCGGGGGTCCCTCGCAGCCTCTGACCCACCAGCCCTCCCCCCCATCTGTGCACAGAGAGGGAAGTTTCTGTACCTTCTGGAATGTTCTAGGCCTTGGTGCCCTGAGTGTGAGCTGGCTGGGCATGGTGGGGAGGAAGAGGATGAGTCACGATGACTCCCAGGCCTGAGGTTTGTGCGTGGTGCACGTGGGTGTGTGCACGTGTGTGTGTGTGTGAGAGAGAGAGAGAGAGAGAGAGGAGGCATTTTTCTTACCCAGCAGGTCCAAGGCTGCTGGGATTTGGGGGACCCAGTTTCCATGGAGATGTAGGGTAGAAATCCGGGTCCCTGGTGTCCCCCTGGGGCGGGGTGGGGGTGGGGACAGGCCGGGGACCCAGAGCTCCGCCTCCTGGCTGGAGAAATGAGCCACCGGCAGGGGCCTCATTAGCAGCAATTAGTGGAGCCACCCCCGAGGCTCCCCACGCTTGGGGGGGGAGGTTTCTCCGGCTTCCTCTCCAGGGCAGGCGTGACCTGGTGACCCTGGTGGCCAGGCCACTCTGGGGGCTCGAGAAGGGCCCCCAAATGCTGCACCCCCAGGAGAGCCGAGCCCTGAACCTCAGCCCCGTCTCACCACGCATCTCAGACACGGAGTGACCTCTGACCCGACTGGTCATGTGCTACAGCCTGCTCCCTTTGGGGTGGTTGGCAGGTCAGCACCTACTTCTGTCTGTGATACTGGGACTTGAGCTCAGGGCCTGGGACTTGTAAGCGCTCTAGCATTTGAGCCCTGGCCTGGGTGCCATCCTTCAGCTCTCTACCACTTGAGCCACAGCACCAAGTCTGGTTTTCTGGTGGTTCATTGGACCTAAGAGTCTCACGGACTTTCCTGCCCGGGCTGGCTTTGAACCGCGATCCTCAGATCTCAGCCTCCTGAGTAGCTAGGATGACAGGTGTGAACCAACAGCACTCGGCTGGATTTTGTTGAGACAGGGTCTCTCACTGGGGGTGCTACTTATGAGGACAGCACCACCAGTGTGAGAAATGTGCTTTATGTCACACAAATCTGCGTGAAGCTGACTTATTAAGATCATTATTATTATTCTGAGACGGAGTCTTGCTGTGTAGCTCAGGTTGGCCTCACATGGTGCAGGGATTACAGGCATGCACCACCACGGTCAGCAGCAGCCAACTTTTCCGCAAGTTTGTAAATAAACCAAAGGTGGGCACTCTGGGGAAGGTGTCCAGTCCCAGCTCGGTGTCCACGGCCTCCAGGAGGCCACCCCAGGCCTTGTTCCTCCACCCCAGGGCTCAGCATCACCTTCCACAGGACTAGGAGGTGCTTGTAACCTTTGATTGATGGTGCAAAGTGCGTCCGAGCTGGGTGTGGTGTGGCATGCCTGTAGTGCCAGCACTGGGTCGGCTGGGGCAGGAGAATCCAGAGTGAGCGCAGCCTGGGCTGCGGGTAACACTTCAAACCCCAGTCCCCGGCACCCCAGCCTGCGGGGGAATCTCCACGGCAGGTGAGTCAGGTCCTGGGCTTTGGCATCGAGCCCCAACAGCTGTGCGTCTGTGAGCGGCCCGCCCTCCCCCCTCCCCCCTGCACAGGTGAAGCCAGGCCAGGATGCCCGCCGTGCACGCCGCAAATACTTTTCGCTGAGTGGATGTTGAGTCATACCCCAGTTTCCGCCTCGTTCTCAGAAGTGTTTACACCCCAGGAACAGGAGCCAGGGCCCCCCAGCATCTGTGCCAGGAAGTCTTCGTTATTTTTTCCAGCATGGGCGGAGGGGGGAGAGGGGAGGGAAGCTTGAACTTTTGTCCTTGAGCTTTTGTGCTCAATGCTGGCGCTCAACCACCTGAGCTGCAGCTCCACTTCCGTGTTTTGGGTGATTCATGGGAGCTACGAGTCTCACAGACCTTTCCTTCCTCCGGCTGGCTTTGAACCAGGATCCTCAGATCTCAGTCTCCTGAGTAGCATGGATTATGGGCGTGAGCCACCCGTCTGGCAGCCGCTCAGGACGTGTGCTGGTGTCAGCTGGGCAGCTCCGCGTGGGGTGCAGGCCTGTCCCGCGGGTCCCCAGCACCCTGAGCCAGGACTGAAGAAAGGCAGAAAATGCTGGAACAGAGAGGAGGCGGGGGGGGGTGGGGGAGGAGGGGGGGGGGGGGGAGGGGTGTGTGTGGAAATGAAGAGACAGAAGCAGAGAGCAGAGCTGCGGCCCCGCCCGCGCCCACGCTAATACACTCATCATTCATTCATCCATCCATTCATTCATTCGCTCAGCGAACGCCACGCACCCGGTGTGCGGCGCGGGTCCCGGGCTGTTCCCCCAGCCCGCGTGGCGCCCGAGGCCGTCGTGGGTCCCCAGGCCACCGCTGCCCTGCCAGTCACCTCGTCCCACGCAGCGGACACGTGCGCTTCCTGAGCTGAGTGGGTGGGGCGGGGCTTCCGGCCGGAGGCTGGCGCTGGCCACGCGTGTGGGTGTCTGGGGCGACCCCAGGACCCCTGCATGGAGAACCCCCGGCCAGGCATGGTCAGGTCGGGCCCCCCCGCGCGCGTCCTGTGTCTGCGTGCCCGGGCGCTGTGTCCAGGATAGGGGGTGCGCCCCGGCCCAGGGACAGCGCTGCGGCCCGGCACTGAGTCACAGTGTCCCGGGAAGTGGGGTAACGGGAATCCGGGGCCCCGGCATGGCAGGTGCTCGGGACTGAGTCACAGCACCCAAGGCCCCGAAGGCTGGGGCCAGGACCGAGCCCCGGCCCCGGCCGCCTCCCCCAGGCCTCAGGGACCCCAACACTGTGCCCAGGGCCAGACCTGCCCCCCACGGCCGAGAGCGAGGCCCGCGTGGATGCGGCCCCGCGTGGAT